TTTTTTTTTTTTTTTTTTTTTTTTTTTTTTTGTTTGTTTTTTTTAGCTCCCACCAATGAGTGAGAACATGTGGAATTTCTTTTTCTCTGCCTGACTCGTTTCACTCAATATTATTCTCTCAAGGTCCATCCATGTTGTTATGATTTTTTTTTTTTTTAAAAAGATGACTGGGAAGGGGATCTTAACCCTTGACTTGTTGTTATCAGCACCACACTCTCCCAAGTGAGCCACAGGCCGGCTGTAGGGGTTGTGATTTTAAGCAGCACGGCTGGGAAGACCTTATGAAGAAGTGGGTATTTGCACAAAGACCTGAGGTAGATTAGTGAGGTCAGTGTGACTGAACAGAGTCATAGCAAAAGTGAGGTCAGGCCACAGGGCTCAGATCGGTGGGGCTTTGGCAAGGCTTTGCCTCGAACCCTGAGTGAGATGGGAGCCACTGGCAGGGTTAGCACAGAGGCGCGACCGGATCTGACTTATGTTTGGACAGGTGCACTTGCTGCTGCAGAAACAGGGAGACGACTTAGGCTGTTCTCATTTGAGGTGAAAGATAACGGTGGCTTGGGTCCAGGGTAGCAGTAAGAGGAGGTGGGGAAAAGTAGCTTTTAGCAGTGCTTTGGAGGTAAAGCCAATAATTTTTTTTCTGATTGAATGTGGAATATAAAAGAGAGGTGTTAGGGACAACTCCGAGGTGGAAATGTCATGGCAGAGTGGAGACTGTGGAAGAGTAGGCTTTGGAATCGCTTCTGGACGTGTTGCATTTGAGTGCATATTATTGCCAGATCCATGAACAGCAGACACTGGTTATGAGTCTGGAGTTCAAGGTACAGGTTCAGGCTGGAAATACAAAAGAGTCCTTAGCACGTAGATGGTTTTTCAGTTGTGAGATTGGATGAAGTGGTCAAGAGAAGAGGTGGAATAGAGGAGAGGTGTGACTGTCTAGAGGTGGGAGCAGGGAGAAATGGGCAAGGAGGCCACAATGGAGTGGTAAGGAAGGAGGGATACCTGAGAGAGTGGCGTCCTGGGAGCCATTCCAAGTCGGCAAGGGTCATTCTATGTCAGGTAGTCTTCTCAGATTGGGCAGCTAGAGTCTCTGGCTGTAGGAACATCTGTAGTGGCTGCCAAATTTGAGCTGTGGGGCTGATGGTGGCAACAGCTGGAGCTGTGGACTGTGGTAGGAGTCTGTCCTTTTCTCCCTGAGCATCTTATTTCCTATTTTAAAATGTGTCCACTTGTGAAAAAGGCTTTTAATTATGTGTCCAGGTGATGTGAAATACCAGATGAAAGTCCCAAAGTAATCTCTACATGGTTACTTAGGTAATTATTAGAATTATCTTCTTCAAAGAGGCAACTTACAGAAACAGTTGGAACAGATCTTAGGTCATTTATTTAGCCTAACTCCTCACCTTGGGCATTTTTTGTACAAAATCCCAATACATAGTCACTGGGCTCTGGCCAGAGCACTCCCAGCAGTGAGATGCTCGCTTCTGTCTGAGCCATCCTGTCCTTTCATGGAGCACTTTAAGAAGCAGTGTGGTTTAATGGAAAGACCAGCCCTGCCTCTATTAACTAGCTCTGGTAAACTTGATTTTGAAATGGAATTTAACCTTTTTTTGTTTAGTTTCCTTATCTATAAAATTACGATGATAATACCTTTCTATGGGATTAAATAGATTTAGGAGATAAAAGATAAGTGCCATGGACAATCAGTGATCCAGTTCTTTATACTGACCTGCAGTTCCTTCTGCAACTTCCAGGCATTTTGCTTTCTGGAGCAACGCAAAGTAAACTGGTTCCCTAATTTGAAACAGCCTGAGAGATTTTCCTTGTCCCCTTTATTATATGTGGCATATGACCGTGCAAGTGGTTGCTGTAGAATACTGAATTTACATTAATGCTTACGTGATCCTCTTCTGAAGAAGTGAAAACTTGACAGGAATGAGGGAGAAACCGTTATTATGGCATTTTATCATCAAAATTTTCTCTAATATAGAGATAGTCAATTTATTAGACATACTTGGTCCTATCTGGATTTAGGTTTTAAATCAAGACATCTATTCATTTTATTTTTTTTATGGAAGAAACCTAAAGTGTGTTGCCCTTGAGGTCTTCCTTTTCAGCATTTCAATTCCTGCCACTGAGTGGGATGACAGCAGAAGGCAGAACAGTGGTACCTATCTTCACGTGGTTACTGTCTCTGCCTCCCTGCACTCCCTACCTTGTGATGTCATGAAACTCAAGGATCAGATTAAACAGACAACGTGTGTGCCCTAGAAGCTTCTGTCCATTTCTTACGAGGTTGGGAATGAAATGGCAGGACGATGTGGTAACACATCTTAACTCAGAATAACTAAGAGTGGAGTCCCTTTGGGGAAGCTTATAATCAATGTTTGGGAATTAATCTATTCCAGAAAATGAAATATATTTGTGTGCTTGTTTTATTAGAGTTATTCATGTAGTTTTTGTTGTTGTTGTTTTCAGTTAGGGAATTAAGTAGAACCAAAATTTGCCCTGAATTATGGTGTCTTGACGCATAAGGTGTTAGAATATAGTGTGCAGAAGCCCATTGCAATTTCACAAAACATGGTGAAACTCATAGACAACTAGTCTAGGCATGTGAATAAGATTTTATTTTAAATCTCAGTGTTTCATTTGCCTCATTTGCTTTGCAATGCATGTGTCTTTTTTCAGACTGTGTCATTATTAAGAGCTGAAAAATAAATGCTTTATTTTTAGGGTCTTTTCATCAGCGGCATCATTGGGGATCGGCTGAATTTACGATGGGTTCTATCTTTTGGCATGTGCTCTTCTGCATTAGTGGTAAGTTGGAAAGGTATTATTATTATTATTATTATTTTGGTCAAGTGTTTTAGAATCCAAGTGGTCCCTCTGCTTCTTTATGAAGCATAGAAGAGTAAAATTAATCTTCAGTGTTCTAATCCCTTTATGCCTTTTCACTTAGGTGAGACTTTTTAAAGCATGATTCTGATTAGGTCCCTTCCTTGATCCTCAGGCATCAGCAAAGACTAATAACTAGTCTAAATAAATAGCATGGTGTTCAGTGCTCTCTAGAACCTGGTCCCAGCCTGCCTTCACAACCGTGCTTGTCACTCTGCTTCACCTTTGCTCCAGCCAAACCGGACTACTTTCCGTGCCCCCAGCATACCCTGCTCCTTCCTACCACGGTGCTTTTGCTCCTGCTGTCCTTCCTGCCTTGAATAGCTCTCTTTTCAGCTCTCGTAGTCTAACTCACTGTCTCCCTCCAGTCATTGGCCAAATGACACCTCTTTCAGAATGCCTAACTTTACTGATCCTAATCAATCGATCGTGGCTTCTTCTGAGCTCCTGTGCCTATGTTTCTTTGTAAGCACTTGTAATTATCTGCTGCTCAGCCTAGTTACTTCTGCTTCAGTCTTACTTTCCCTGAGAGTGGGAAGCAATGGTGGTTAAGAGCACCGATTCCCTAGACAGGGCAGCCTTCGTTTCCATCCCTCTTCTGCAGTTTCCTAGCTTCTGATTTCTCTGGGCTTCAGCTTCTTCATTTGGAAAAGAAAATGTGCGTATTACTCCATCCTAGGGCTGAAGTGAGGATTATGAGCTTCTATATGTGAGGCATTTAGGACAATGCCTGGCACATGAAGTGCTATGTACATAGGGCAAGATCCATATGTGATTCATCTTCATTTGCTTACTAGCTTCTAGTAAGGAATTTTTGTTGATTGAGTGACACCATAGAGTTTAGTTAGACCCTAATTTATTGTTGTTTTTCAATGTCTGCCATTTGAGTGCAGGAAAATACTTTTTTTCTCTTGAAATTTTATTTTATTTTTTTTCTCTTGAAATTATAGAGATTGAAGCACTTTATTTATTCTCAAGCTACTCACCCACACATATATACATTCTATTTTTAAACCTATATACATACTTTTTTGTTTTATTAAAAATATTTTTTAAAAATTGAAGTATGTACATAAACTCCTCTTTTTCGTGTATAGTTCTGAGTTTCAGCAAACGAATACAGTTGTTGGGCTACTACCCCGCTCCCACCTCCCTCAGCCTCTGGCAGCCACTGACCATTTTTCTGTCCTTCTAGTTTTGCTTTTTCCAGAATGTCTTGTAAGTGGAATCAGACAGTATTCTACATTTTTTTTTTAACTCGTGCCAAGTATTCCCAAAATAGACCTCAAGTGTAAATAAAATGTCCACTTGAGCAAAATGCCTGGAATAAAGCAGCCACTTGATGACAGCTACTAAATGATGCAGCAGATCACAAGGTGGATGGGTTTCCCTTACACTGATGATCCTAGTGGCTGCAGTCATAACAATAGCCCGCACTTACCTGTGCTCTTACCCCAGCAGCGCCTGGGGCTGTTGTCAATGAGTCAATGAGTTTATGAGCGTGGACGAGCTCAGGCTCACAGGAGCCTCCCCGCTGCAGACTTTGGCTTCCTCCCATACACTCAGGCCTGAGGGAGAGGAGATGGAAATAGATGTAAAATGAGGTGTAAAAATGAGGAATGAATTTTGTATAGTTGAAGATGCAAGTGGGGGGATGATCGTATAGTGACTTTTATGTCGCTTGACGTCTTTGCCTGTCTGGCTGGTGCTGGTTCTGAGCAGGAGCAGCTGTTTGAGTATGTTCTTCACGTGGTCTCTTTACTCTGAAAGTTAAGCACTGTGGGCAGTTGCGTATGCTAGAAGTGTCCATGTGGATGTCACATGTCCCTTTTTGTTTCCTTCATCTCGAAGGTGTTTGTCTTTGGCACTGTGACAGAATGGCTGCACTTCTACAACAAATGGCTGTACTGCTGCCTGTGGATTGTGAACGGCCTGCTGCAGTCCACTGGGTGGCCCTGCGTGGTAGCTGTCATGGGCAACTGGTTTGGGAAAGCTGGGTATGCCACTTCCTTCCTCTTTGATTTTTCCGTTTATGTGGTTTTCATGTTGGATTATTTAGACTTGTCAGAGCCAATTAACTTGATGCCTTAGACACTATGCACATCTTTCCTCTATTTTAGAAAGTCAGAATAGTTCAGGGAGAGAAGGATTCACATCAGAGTATATTGGAAATCCTGTGAACCTTAGAGCTGAGACATTTTGTGAGACTCTGTGACCTTCTAAGTTAAAGATAAGGAAACTGAGGCCAAAAGTTATCTGTGTGACTTGCCTTAAGGTCATATAACAAGGGTTGTAATAAGATTCTGATAAAGAATGCCAAAATTTGGGGCTTAGTTAAATGGGACATTTTCCCTGCTAAACCTTCAGGTAGTTGTTAGATTATATTTGACTTTGTGTGTGTGGTGTGCGCCATGGGATAAAGATAGGTGTCTACTAAAGTACTGTCTAGGCCACCCAGGAAGTAGAGCCATAGTTACTTTATAGGATGGAAAACAAGTGGAAATAACCAAAAACTTTGCTTTGTTTATTGTTGTGACGCTATGATTTCAGGAATATTAGGAATTTGGATTTTCATCATTTTTCCTAGGTATTTATGTATTGTCAGATGCATGTTTATCTCATCTATGTCTCTGTCTTTTTTGTATGATTGCTCTTTTATGTGGGGACCAGTGTATGCAGCAGACATTATCCACCCACAGTAGTGATCAGTGTGTGCTCTGGCTGGCTCCTCTGTTTTCCAGCTTCCCCAGTTTCATAATGGGAGTTAACTTGCTCATTTGATCTATAATGTTGTGAAAGTTCCCCTATAAAATGTCTTGTGGTTTGAATAAGCACCTCTTAATCAGACTGCTCTGTATATGTCATTGTGTTAGTGATTTCTATTTCGTTCGTACTCTAGCGCCACTGTTTTAACACAATTGCATTGTGAAAGGCGTTTCCCTGTGGAACTCTAGTTTTCTTTTGTAGCAGGTGATGCTGCCTGCTCATGTGCTGTTTTATTTTTTATTAAGATTTTTAAGGTAGTGCTGGCCGGTTAGTTCAGTTGGTTAGCGCACAGTGTTATAACACCAAGGTCAAGGGTTTGGATCCCTGTACCAGCCAGCTACCAAAAAAAAAAAAAAAAATTTTTTTTTTTTTTTTTTTTTTGTCCTTTTTGAGACCAGCCGCACCATGCTCAGCCAGTGAGCACACTGGCCATCCGTAATAACTTCGTATAGCATACATTATACGAAGTTATACGATTTTTGTCCTTTTTGAGACCAGCCGCACCATGCTCAGCCAGTGAGCACACTGGCCATCCCTATATAGGATCTGAACCTGCGGCGGGAGCGCTGCTGCACTCCCAGCGCCGCACTCTCCCGAGTACGCCACAGGCTCGGCCCAAAAAAAAGATTTTTAAGTGATGTTTTTTTATTCATGATTTTAAAAAAATCATACAAAGGATATTTGTTTATTATAAACAAATCAGAAAATGTAAATGAACAAAGAAAACTAAAGGTTAAACCAACTGAAATCCTATTACCCAATGATAATTACTAGTTTTAACATGTATCATTCTGAGAGAATTGTTTTCTAAGCTTTTATAAATTGGATGACACTGGGTCTTTGATAGTGACTAAACAATCTGACCACTTCATTATTTCTGTGGATCAGTCATAAAGAAAAAAAAGTCAAGAAAACCATTACAGTTTAATTTTGAAGTAAGGCAATTTATCTTTATTTTATTTTTGCAGCTGGCCTGTGTGGGGATCCGAACCCTTGACCTTGGTGTTATAAGGCTGCGCTCCAACCATCCAAGCTAACCAGCCAGCCCTGCAATTTGTTTTTAAACAAGTAACACTAGTGAGAGAGATTGAAAGTGCATTGCTGTGGACACTGTGACTTCCAGTGAAACATAACAATAACCCACAGTCCACTAAAACTATGACAGCTTAAAGTTACTGTAAGCCAATTTCTTCTCAAATCATGTCTTTGGTCTGTCCATGTCATTCAGATCCTAAGCTTCTTCCTGTTCCCTCCATGAGCCTCTTGATAGGCTTTAATATTTTATAATATTGGGGCATTTTAGAACTGAAGAGGAATATAGAGACTGTCTAGCCTCAAATATTTGTTTACCAGGTGAGAAAAGTTGGGGCCCAGAGAAATTAAGTGCTCTCCTGAGGACATTGCCCCTAACTAGCTACTACTGTGGATGAGTCATGTCACTGCTCTTGGGTGTCAGGGTCATAGTTTTTTAAAACGAATTTAGACTAGGTAATAATAATGCTTCTGTTTCTATAGCATGAAGCCCTTTCATCTGTATGATTGCATGCAGTCTGTTGAGGAGCACAGTTCTCCCAGATTAGAACCCTGAGTCTCAGCTCATGGCTTACGTGTGATTACACAGCCGGTGGCAGCAGAGCTCAGACTTTCGAGGACTATTTTTTACCGTATAGCACTGTCTTTGTTTATTTCTAAAATTCCTTCTGTCTCAGTGAGGTTAGGAAAATGCTTAAAGAGCTACAAAATGTAGATCTAACTCAGTGTATTATTATAGGTATCAAATAGAATAAAACACAAATTTGAATTTAAAAAAAATGAACTTTTCTTAAATCCTTTTTCTTTCAACAGCACTACTGTTATTGCCTATATTCAAAACTAATCATTTCTCTCCAGGATGATTGCAATAGCTAGCTTCCCTTCCACCAGGCTCTTTCTCTGCCCATCATTCTTTATTTAAATTCTAACGACTTTATTGAGGTGTACATTATTGTGCTTATGCTGTACATGTTTAAAATGTACAAATTGATGTGATCTGGCCTGTGTACTCTTGTAAAACCATGTGCACAATTAACATAATGAACATGTCCGTCACCCCCAGGAGTTTCCCCATGCCCGCTGGTCATTTCTCCTCTCCCCATTTCCTCCTGCCATGTCCAGGCAACCACTGATCTGCTTTGTCACTTTAGATTAATTTGAGTTTTCTAAGATTTTATATAAATGGAATTATACAGTATGTGTTCTATTTTTGTCTTTCATTCAGCATAGAGATTTATTCACAGGGTTTGTGTACAAATCCCCATATGGACATATGTTTTCACTTCTCTTGGGTAAATAGTTAGGAGTAGATTAAGAGTCTCATGCTCTACCGACTGAGCTAGCCGGGCATCTGCGGATAGTTAGGAGTAGAATGGCTGGATCATATGGCAGGTGTGTTCACCTTTTTAAGAAACTGGCAGTCTCTTCCAAAGTGGTCGTACCACTTTACATTCCCAGCAGCAGGGTGTAAGAGTGCCAGTTGCTTTACATCCTGCCAACACTCAGTGTGCTCCATCTTTTTTGATTTTAGCCATTCTAATAGGTGTTTAGTTAATAGCTCACTGTGATTTTAATTTGCATTTCTCTAATGTCTAATGATGTTGAGCATCTTTTCATGCACTTGTTTGTGTCATATATTTTTTTGTGAAGTACCTGTTAAAATCTTTTGCCCCCTTTTTCTTTCTTTTTTTTTTTTTTCCTTTTTGTCTTTTTTCGTGACCAGCAACAGATCGCAACCCTCAGTGTCGCGCCCGTACCGGACCGGGACCGGCAACGGGATTGCAACCCTCGGTGTTGCGCCCGCACCTCGCTCAGCCAGTGCGTGGCCGGTCTGTATGTGGGATCCGAACCCTCGGCGGGAGCGCCACTGTGCGCCCAAGCGGCACACTGTAGCAGTGCGCCACTGGGCTGGCCCATTTTGCCCCCTTTTTCTTTCTTTTTTTTTTTCCTTTTTGTCTTTTTTCGTGACCAGCAACAGATCGCACCCCTCAGTGTCGCGCCCGTACCGGACCGGGACCGGCAACGGGATTGCAACCCTCGGTGTTGCGCCCGCACCTCGCTCAGCCAGTGCGTGGCCGGTCTGTATGTGGGATCCGAACCCTCGGCGGGAGCGCCACTGTGCTCCCAAGCGGCACACTGTAGCAGTGCGCCACTGGGCTGGCCCATTTTGCCCCCTTTTTCAGAACCTTTTTATTTTGAGATGATTGTAGATTCATGCTCTTGAACATTCTGTTGCATTGTCTGTTTTCTTATTATTGAGTTTTGAGAGCTCCTTGTATTTCAGTACACATCTTTTATCAGATAAGTGATATGTAAGTATTTTCTCCCAATTTGTTCCTTGTCTTAATTCTCCTAGTGGTGTCTTCTGGCAAGTCCCAAATTGAAGTTTAATGTAATAAAATCGTAAAGTTGGAAGAGATCTGATGTTTTGGCATTTTGGTGTATTTGAAAACATTTTAAAATAGAGTATTTATTCTTTGTAATGTGAACCTTCAGAGTTCTGTCTGATTCTATTTTCTTCTGTCTTCCACTTTCTGGATCTTAGACGAGGAGTTGTTTTTGGTCTCTGGAGTGCCTGTGCTTCAGTGGGCAATATTTTGGGAGCGTGCCTAGCTTCTTCTGTACTGCAGTATGGTTATGAGGTGGGTATTTTTTCTAGACTTTTCATGTATGTGTGTATGTATTGTTATTTAATGAAATCATACCTTGGTCATTTACTACCTACAACTGTATCGGGGCAGGGTAAGGCTTGTTTTGAAAGTGGAAAAACTTCTGATAAATTCAAACACATAAAAAATTATTTATGGCAAAAACACCATATGAGAGTCTAAAGACAAATAACTAATTGAGAAAAAGTATTTGCAACTCATGTTACAGATAAAGGGCAAGGCTAATCTCCCTAATCTGTAAAGAGTACCCACAAATTGGTAAGGTAAAGACCAACAACGCACAGAAAGAAAGGTAAAGGATTTGAATGTGTTGTTCATGGAAATGAAACAGAAATGGCTTGGAAATGAATGAAAAGATACTTAGCTTCACTCATAGCTTATTCATTCATTCAATAAATATTTAATTTCCTCTGTGTGCCCTTAGGCACCAGAGAATAAAGCATTGGCTAAAAGAGACAAAAATCTCTCTCATGGAGCTTAGGTGTTAGTTGGTGGAGAAATGCAAATTTAAAAAAAAGAAAAGAAAACCACACTGTATACTTATTAGATTGGTAAAAATCTAAAAGTTTGATAACATATTATGTTTGTGAGGGACTGAAGAAATAGGCATTGCAGTTGAGAGGGTAAATAACACCTCAATGGGTCAATTTGACAATGTCTATCGAAATTACAACTGTTCTGACTGAGCAGGTTCATCTTCCAGAATTAAACACACATGTGAATTACCTAAACATGTAGAAAGCGATCTCTCTACAAGGTTCTTTATTTCAGCATTGTTTGTAATAGCCAATGATTGAAAATCAATGCCAACCAATAGAGAAATAGTTACACTGTGATACACCTGTTCAAAGGCGTGCACTCTGTGCTACTAGAGACCAGCTCACTGGAAAGATCTCACAGGAGTGTTAAGTGAAGAATGCAGTGGTGCAAAGCCATGTGTGTTGAATGATCCATTTGTGTAAAAGGGAAGAATGAAAGAGGATGTATTTGTATGAGCTTGTATGTTTCTAAAACAATCTCTGGACAGTAAAAATTAAATAACAGTAATGGTTATATGCTGGGAAAATTGAGAATTGTGAGTGGATGGGGAAGGGGTGGGAGGGAAAGTTTTCACCGTACATCTTACTTTTTGTTGCTTGAGTCATGTGAATGAATGTATTGCCTACTCAAAAACTGAAATAACTAAAAGTAAGTACTTTAAAAAAGTAAATAAATTTTAAACAGCTCACCAAGAATTTTGGTCTAGCTGTGGTCAATGAGAAGTCCTTCCTTAATTCATGGTCACTTTTATTCTAGGCTTCTTAGCTTCACACCTGGATTGTACTAATTGGTTCAGTTGGGTATTTCAATTCACCCTCGGTGCTGCTCCCAGATTTGACTTCTGGAAACACTTAATTTTGTCACTCATTTGTTTCAAAATTCAGACTCTCTGCATCAGGCTCCGTTCTCTGTTAAATAAAATTCAGCTGTGCAGGCTGGCGGTTGAGAGTCTTTAATCTTGATACCACCTTTCTGAGTCAGTTTTATTCCCTATTATGTCCTAGCCGAAGCCCTCTCCTTCAGCCGTGCAGTGAGGTTTCTATTTCATTCCCGCCCTGTGCCTTTGCTTACGTTGTGCCTGGAAAGAGGGGCAGTTGCTTTGATTTTCAGCTTTTCCCTGAGACATTGGCTGCTTAAGCCTCTCAGCTGTTTCCTTCTTCTGAATTCCTATGCATGTTTCTTACTAGGACTGGTCCTTCTTATCTATTCAGCTACATTTTGCCTTACAAGAGTGTTTGTCTATTGTTTGATCCCCTCAACTGATACATCTTTGAGGGCACATACTGTGTCTTTTGTGGGAGGCACTGTAATGCAAAGAACAATATTTTCGGAGCCAGTCCTGATATCACAGTCATAATAGTGCCACTTAGCATCCACGGGGCCTTCATTAGCTTCTCTGCGCCTTGGAGCTTCGCTGGGAAATTGGATGAGAAAGCAAAGTAGACCTTCGCACGGTGCCTGGTGCAGTGGGAGCTCTCGCTGCCCAGTCTCCCTGTCCCTCGTGCCACTACCTCCCACTCGTGTGCCTTTAATGACTGTGCCTACGGTGGCTGTTCCCTGATGTGCAAGAACCACCTTTCTCCTTCTCCTCCAGTATGCCTTTCTGGTGACGGCGTCTGTGCAGTTTGCTGGTGGGATCGTCATCTTCTTTGGACTCCTGGTGTCACCAGAAGAAATTGGTGAGGCGAATCTGTCTCTTCTATCTGGAATGTATTACTGTTATGTGTTATGGGCAAAGGGAAATCTGAGGCCAGGAAATGGAGTCTCTCTTTTCTTAGGACAGCTGTGAGTTCCTTTCCATGAATAAAGGAGCAGTACTGCTGTCAGTGTCCTGTCAACATTACAGCCACCCTGGCACCGTTGCATGTGTTTGAGGGGAGTGATGCACACCTGTCAGAGGTACAGGAGAAACTTAGCATTTACAAATGATGTTTATAATTGAGACTCTGGCTAGGAATTAGCATGGTTGTGTTTCTTATCAAACTTCTTGAAACAGATTTCTTTTCCTTCATAAAAATGATTGTTTGAGGGCCGGCCCGGTGGCGCACTGCGCTAGTGCGCCGCTTGGGAAGTGCAGCAGCGCTCCCGCCGAGGGTTCGGATCCCACATACAGACCGGTTCCCGCTCACTGGCTGAGCGAGGCATGGGGGCAACACCGAGGGTTGCGATCCCGTTGCCGGTCCCGGTCCGGTACGGGGGCGACACTGAGGGTTGCTATCCGTTGCCGGACACGGAAAAAAGACAAAAAAAAAAAAAATGATTGTTTGATACCTACCTATAGTTAAATACAGAACATGTACAAGCAAAACCACAGAAGCAAAGAGATTTATAATTCTTCTGGTTTTTGAGTATTATTAAATAGACTGTAAGACCTTAATTGACCTCAGTTGCCCTTGGTCTCTGAATCTGAATTGCTTCTTCTGTAAATGTAAATAAAAATAACATCGACCCCATAAGTAGTGGTATCTGCAATGCCCTTAGCACAATGCCAGGCACATAGTAGGTACTCTATAAATGGTAGCTGTTATTGTTGTTTTAGGTCTCTCAGGTATTGAGGCAGAAGAAAATTCTGAAGAAGACTCACACCGGCCGTTAATTAATGGTGCCGAAAATGAAGATGAATATGAGCCTAATTATTCAGTCCAAGAAGACAATGCTGTTACCCAAGTCAAGGCCATCAGCTTCTATCAGGCTTGCTGCCTTCCTGGAGTCATGCTGGTGAGGACCGTTCAGATCTCCCAGCACAGCCAGTGAGATACAGCCCCTGATCTTTTCTCTGCCTGGGATAAAGCTTCTTTGAGTATTTAGCTTCTCTTCCATGCTTTATTATAGGAATATATGTTCGGAGGTATATTGTATAGTGCCCCTCAGCTTATCTGATATCTAATGGAGGGGTTGGCAAACCTTTTCCTTGAAGAGCCAGAGAGTAAATTTTTGGCTTTGGGGGAACCGTATAATCTCTGCCACAACTACTCAACTCCGTAGAGCAGAAGAAGCTATAGCCAGCATGGGACTGGTGGGTATGACCAGACCATGAGCCCTGGTTTGCTGGCCCCAATGTAGCATATGACTAAGAAGGCAAAATTGCTATTTTTAAATACATATTTTTGGCCTGTTGAAGTATTACAGAATTAGATATATTCCAAGAAGGGTTTTGAATGGTTCATCAAGTTTGCCTTATTTGCCTACATTGTAATTATTCCAAGAAAAAAAAAAAAAAAAAAAAAAACGCCCTTTTTTTAAAAAGGTCTAGCTCAGAGTACTCCGCAGTATTTCTTGGTAATGCATTCCAGTGTTTCCACAACCTTTGCAGTCAGGAAAACTTTCTAACATCTAAACTAAATCCCTTCTGCTGCAGTTTTTCTGTCTTGATGTTTCGGGCGCTGTAGCACTGGAGTGGAAGTTAAGAGGCCTAGGTTATGTTTCCAGCTTACCCACTAACTTTCTGTGAGACCTGGGGTAAGTCACTCAACCATCCTTGTGTCTCAGTTCCCTTTCCGTGGAATAGAAGTTGTACCAGTCTTCCCTGGGGTCTGTAACATTGGGTTACTGGGTTGTGAACAGGCACCTGTTTTTATTTTTTCATTTTTTAATGGTGCTTTATGAATGTCATCCCCCAGGTAGGTTCAAAGTTTATAGGCCATCTTATATCATACTTAGAAATTTTCTTCTGCCAATATCCCCAAGCTAAGAGAACTAACATTTCGAATAGTTAGTTAAATGAGTTAAAATGTAAGTGTAATTTTCCACAAGTCTTTAACCCAATATTAACCCTTATATTAACCAAATAATATAAGGGAAATGCAGGTACCTCGAGGCCTGTTCTTATGCTAATGATCATTATCTTTTAACTAGTTATTAAAATATCGCACTGGTAATAGTTTAACTTTTGAGACTGAACTTGGTTGTGACTAAATTTGGAAGTCTCGCTGTGCCTCCGCACCTCACATGCTGTTGTTCTCTGACATGGGCAGGAGTGTAAGGAAATCTAGTAACTTAATTCCTTTGTCTTTGTAACAGGCTGTCTGGACAAAATGCACTCGTGATTGGGATTTGGCTCTCTAGGGGGTGGCGGTTGCCCTGTCAGGGAAGCTGTTTTAAAACAAGAGATACCTAGGGAGTAACTGGCAGCTCCCGGGAAAGGAATATGCTAGCCAGACACCCTTTGAAGTCAGCCCCTCTGTTCCTCCCCTTCTTTCTTTGATGCTAGAAGTCAGGATTTCCTGGTAATAGTGTGTTGAAAATAGGAATCTCAGCCCCACCACCATCTTCAGGCAGATGCAACTTTTTTCCCTCAAAGGAGAACTACAAGGCCAATGACGACTATGTTTTTTCGTTTTTTTTTTTTTTTCCTTTTTGTCTTTTTTCGTGACCGGCAATGGATCGCAACCCTCAGTGTCGCGCCTGTACCGGACCGGGACTGGCTACGGGATCGCAACCCTCGGTGTTGCTCCCGCACCTCGCTCAGCCAGTGAGCGGGAACCGGTCTGTATGTGGGATCCGAACCCTCGGCGGGAGCGCCTCCGCACTTCCCAAGCGGCTCACTGTAGCAGTGTGCCACCGGCCGGCCCTGTTTTTTCGTTTTTGACTCACCGGAGATGCTCTGGTCTTTTCCACCGGATGTGGGAATACAGGGCTTTTAGAAACTCTAATGTGAAAGTAATTTTAATGTTGAGGCTTTTTTTTAAGACCTTGAAACTATGGTTTAGTCACATTGCTCTCCGTTGTTTACAGTATTAACTTTGCAGGAAGTAGAATGACCAGCAAAGTTTGGCTGCTTGCAGTGAAAGCCGTGATGGTTACTGGATTTATTTGCCTGTGGTTAATGCGTGTTAGTGGCATGAATACCATTTATCTTTGTCTGAGTAAAGAAATATGAGTGTGTGCCCTGCATTCTGGTTCAAAACACTGGTTTGCTTCTACCAGAGAACTGATAGGAGGAGAAACGGGACAGTTAAGAACTAGCTGTATGTATTTTTTATTCCAAAGGCCTGCTGTCCATGCCTGCCTAGAAGCTAATGGGGATAAAGGGAAAAGGGTGACTAGGTAAAGTCAGGCAAATGGAAATTTGTAAAGATGTTTATTTAAAAAAATCAGATACTATTCATCCCAAACTCCTTTGTTTTCATTTTTAATTACATGAAAAAGTGTGGCCATGCATGCCATGCTGTTTGTTTCCTATTAATAGTTAAATGTTTTTCTTGTAGTATTCACTGGCCTATGCCTGCTTGAAGTTGGTGAATTACTCCTTCTTCTTCTGGTTGCCCTTTTATCTGAGTAACAACTTCAGATGGAAGGAGGCTGAAGCTGACAAGCTGTCCATTTGGTACGATGTTGGAGGAATCATAGGTATGCCATGATGCATCTTTTTCCGTAATAAAGTTAGTCACTAATCATCTTTCACTGGGTTATGAAATCTGGCCTCATTTAAAGTTTTATTACTTATTTCACAGCCATTTCCTTAAACTGTCTTACTAGTAAACAGCCAAACTCTTTAAGGAAGAAAAAAAGGTTCATAGAAAGGAAGACCCAGCCTAAGTCAGGGCTATGATTTATAGGCTCTTTTTTCTCAGTCCTTTGTTGATGGACCAGTTCTTTTGTCTTGGGAAGCACACATGAATCTCTTTAAATGTAACCCTTTTGTCTACCATTTAGTGATATCTTAGCTCTAAAGCTAATTGTAATGTCAAAGATTGAAGTCAGAATGTGAATATATTCATTTTGTCTACCTCCCACCTTCCCCACCACCCCTGGCCAAAGAAGGAGAAATAATACCTTAGTGTGTAAACTGTCAGATCATAGAGTTAGGAATAACAGCAGGGATTCATTTTTGCTAGTGTTTTGCAATTGCTTCATTGTAAACAGCAGATTTTAATAGTGACCTTTTGTTATAGCCAGAAGTATGAACAAGGAAGTAATAAACTTTTAAGAGGGATGAATAGAAAGTATTTTAGTGGGTATTACTTATATGGCTATGGGAAAACCTTTATATCCTTTCTATAATGTTTACATTTAGAATTGTGTTAAGACTGAGTTGCCCTGAGTACTTGAAAGCCCACAGTATGTACTATTAATGTATTTGAACTTGACTGCCCTTATTCTTAGATCCAGAGCCAAAAGGGAGGTTGCCACCTTTAGACCTCAGCATACTTGTGTCCTCTGAAATTAAAATTGCCTAGGTGCCTGCTGTCTGACAGGATATACCAGATATCGCATGGCCCATAGAACTCCAAATAGCAGTATATCTAAATATGACAGTGCTGCCTGCAAGATTCACATCACCTCTTTTTAAACATCCTGACCTATTAGTTATTACCAAACCATAATTGCTGCATTTAGTTTCAGTGAATATTTATTGGCTGCTACTAATAGCCTGTGAGGCACGATCCTTAACTAATCATCCTTTAAATTAAAAAGTAGAAAAATCAGGAAAAGAATTCACAGCTTGTTTTTGTAGAGGAAACAGTAAGGATAATGGATGGTTTGGTGATTTTTCCTTTCTTCTTCTTTTGCTGTCTGATTTGTGGTGTCCTGTCGCCATCAGCCTTCATGGCAATTTAACAGTCAGTCCATTTTCCTAAAAGGAAATTATGTAGGAAATGTTTTGGGAGAGTCAGCCATCTTTTTGGACAGACCAGTGTAACGATCCTGATAGAATAAAGGGTATATGGGGAGCGCTCCCCAGGTAACTGAGCTAAATTCGACATGATTTTGATTGTGATATACTCTTTGTGCTTGAAGGTGGAACTTTGCAAGGCTTCATCTCTGACATATTACAGAAGAGAGCACCAGTTTTGGCTCTAAGTCTGCTTCTGGCGATTGGTTCCCTTGTTGGGTATAGTCGTGAGTATTCCTTTGCAATGACATTGTTTTCCTGATCTATTAGGGATAAGCCATTTTGCCTAGAGTCAGCGATCAGCCCTACAGACAGCTACAAGGCAAGACAGGCCACCTTTGTATTGTCCTGTGAATGCCTGGGAAAACTGTCATCACACGGTTTTATTTGTGTTGGAAGGAAACTGGCATCTCTTCTGCTTTGTTGATTTGTTTAAAAGTTCGCTTGGGAGTCTATATGCTTTGTTTGAGGGGAGGCTCCAGAAAGACGGCATGATAGCCAATAAAACAATAAAAAGAGGAAAGGTTTCAAAAGCAGAAAGATGATAATTAGTAGGTTGGGTATATGTCCCTTGAGATGCTGCTGAGATGGGAGTAGAGTTTTCCTTTTGCTTTTAGAAGTCTTATTAGCTTGAACACCAGTGAGAGACAGACATTAAAATAAGAGTTGGGAGAGGCAGTGAAAGAGTATCTCTTTGTTGTCTCTGGGAGTGATTTGTGAGGTCACAGAGATTCAGATCTTTGTGTCCTGTTCTGTGAAGGCACATGTATCTGCTGTTCCAGTCACCGTGGTGGTCCGTGTCTTTCCTTATAGGTTCTCCAAACAATAAGTCCGCTAATGCACTTCTGATGACTATTACAGGTACGGTATCCGGCTCTCTTTCACTGTGCTGTTAGTCTGTAAATCAAAGGGAAAAGGGAAACCGGTTTCTCCCTCAGTTTGAGTAACACTCAAACCTTAATTACAGAGAACTCTAATGGTAAAAGGAAGGACCTCTCCTTTTCCAGATTCTATTTATCTGCTCTTGTGTGACCTCTCCAGCCCCTACTGTGACAGAAGCGGTCCCTACTGACAGATTTTCCTCAAGTTTTGATTGCACCCCAGCTTCTGATAATTAGTTCTGAAAGTGACTTAGGAAGAGACCACACTAGAAAACAATTCACCAGCTTTCAAAAAGTTCAGTATAGCTCATTTTTCCTCCTCTGTTGCATTGGGCAGTATTTCCTCAATTGAACACTAGATGAAATAGTGGGGTGCCATTAGAGGACTATGCTACAGAAAAATTACGTCTTCTTACACTTTACATCATGCTCAGGAGAGTGAGCTGCTTGTACTGCATGGGACACGTGGAGCTGCTTCCGGCAGTGTGACCAGATGCACGTGGGCCAGCTGTGCCTGGGCAGCCTCACCGAGAGCCGTGGCACATAGGCCACTGTACCGTTTCAACAGCTTTTTCCTCGTCTCTGTCTCTTTCACTGTTTGGTTGAATTTGAGCAGTCAAATGCCTGTATGATGCAACTCTGCCATAATAGAATTTGACAAGCTAGTGCAATTAATTATTAATGAATGAACCTCACAGGATTAGAAAGGCTACATGATTCACTAGGTTTTTTTGTATCTTTGGGTTCTGTAAAATATACCAGAGTGTCACATAATTTAAGAAGGGATTTCAGAAAAGTGGGTGCTAACTAGTTTGAAGATGATACTCTCTAGGAGAGTTTCCTATTTTTTTTTTCTGTTTCTTTTCAACATATTAATTAAAATATTGGGATAATATTTTGCCTTATCCAGTAGATTCCTAGTGGTGTTAGGAATTGTGTTTTAAAAAGAACCTGTTCTGTTTATGACTTCAGGATTCTTTATTGGTGGACCTTCTAATATGATTAGCTCTGCTATTTCTGCGGACCTGGGTCGCCAAGAGCTGATCCAGGGGAGCAGTGAGGCTTTGGCGACTGTCACAGGAATTGTTGATGGGACTGGGAGCATTGGAGCAGCCGTGGGCCAGGTGAGAGAATGGGAGAAAAGGTGGGATTTGAACGTTCAGTCTTCCTTCAAAGGTGGAAGAATTTATACCTACTGGCTAGGCCACAGTAGGTGGCACTCTTGTGCTATAGAGTGCTGTACAGAAAACCTTAGGTTTGTAGTCTCTGAGGTCCAGCTGATGTGACCTAATATGGAAGGGCCCTCTACCATTTTTAGTTCCTTCTTTCTATACAGATTCTTCCTATCTGCAGATAAGACAGGTGGATCCTCTTGCCCCACCCACTACCCCCTTCTTCCAGGCTGAACTTGGTACTCTGAGCAGAGGTGGGGGGGGCGTGAGGCATGTGCTTCTCCTTATCCCCACCTGGCATGCAACCCCCCTTTCTTCCTCTCTCCTGTCTCCATGGAATCCATGGCCACCTTTGAGGCAGTTTCTCGGTTTACTACGTGTTCAAAAATCTACAACTGTGTTTCAAAGGGTGATTCATAAATGTCTTGTATCAGAGTCACCTGGGATATACATTCAAGTACAGAATTCTGAGCATACTGCAGATTTGCTGAGTTAGAGCTTGGGGGTCTGTATTTTCAATAAGCCTTCCTGGTCATTCTTACGCAGTCTGATATTTGAGGTCCTCTAAGCTAACGTTGGCCTACTATATGTAGTCAGGACTATTCAAATTGACCTTTTTTGGTTAAATTCAGGCCTTCTCTCAGAAAGGTATCTCTTCTCTGGGACAGTCATGAGGCACCCCTCTCTTAGGGTATACCACTCCAGGTCATGGAGTGTTAATTTTGCAAAAATATGAATTTAGGAATCATCTCTATGGATGAAATAGTTCAACCTGTGGAAGTGGATGAGGTATTTAATGGGGAAAGAGAATATAGGCAGAACCTCAGGCAATGCCCAGTGGTCAGAGAAACAAGAAGCCAGCAGAGTAACATGCAGTCAGGGGAATAGCACTTGAGAAGACATCAGTCAATAAGGTCAGAGATGCAGAGAGGTCAGGAGGAGAACCGAAAGACAAAAGCTCTTAGTTTTGACATTTAGGAGGTTGTTCGTGCTGTTTCGCTTGCTTTGTGGGGGTGGATCCTTGATGTCTGGTTGCTAGTGGTTAATAAGGGAGCAGGCACTGGGGTAGAGTAAGCCATCTCAGTACTTATCACTACCAGCTGGATAGAATATAGTTACTTGCGAATGTCTGTCTCTCCTACGATAACATAAGCTTCATGAGGGTGACATTTTGTTTTCTGTTCTACTGTAGCCCTAGGATTTAGAATGGTGCCTGGCACACAGAAGACATTCAAATATTTGTTGAATGATTATAGAATGAGTGATTGATTTGCTTAGGATATTTGATTATAAGACTGAAGGGTTAAAAAAAAACCAACTTAGCAAAGGTAGGAGAAATTTGTTCACCCAGTCGTGCTCTGAATTCAAAAACTGCTGTTGGCCACCAGTTCAGACATCTTCATATATGGGGTAAAGGGTGACTATATGGGGCATCCTTTTTGGACATTACAGTAAGTTATCCTTCCTCACTAATGTTTTCATTAGTTAAATAGGTGGATTATAATTAGCTTTTCAGGGAGTTTACTTTTATTTGGAATGTCACAACTGCTAGCATTCGGATCCCTAACTGGACCTGGGGTCAGATTAGACTGGGCTTTGTGGTTGGGGGAGCACATCAGGTGCTTTACTCACTCCTCTTCCGTGCTCCCTTTTGAGTGATTTCCTATTGCATGGATGATGAAACCCCAAACTCCATGCCTTACTGTTTAAACTCCATCAGCCTTGTCCTCAGCCACTCCACTAACTCACCCTGAATAACGTGGTTGCCTCCACCTTCCCCTGACTTCCCAAGAAAATAATTAATTGTTTTTTCTTCCTGGTTGCCATGGCAGTTGATACACACGTCTAGTAGAGCACTTGTCACAGTGAATCTCCTCTACTGGTTTATCCGTCTGTCCTTTGTCCTAGACTCTACATTCCTTGGGAAGAACAACTCTGTTTCCTTCATCTTTTGTGTTCCCAATGTTTAGTGCATTTTTGACACGTACTAGGAGCTCAGTAAGATGAAATTGCAGTATCTACCCAAGGAAAATGAGAACAAATGTCTGCATTAAAACTTCTACACAAATGCTTACAGCTGCATTATTCATAACAGCTAAAAAGTAGAAACAACCCAAATGTTCATCAGTTGATGAATGGATAAATAAAATGTGGTAAATCCATACTGTAGAGAACTTATTCAGCAATTAAAAAGGCATGAAGGATTGATAGATGCTACAGCGTGGATGAACTCAAAAGTGTTATGCTAAGTGAATGAAAGAGGCCAGTCACAAAAGACCACATATTGTATATAATTCTGCCCATATAAGATGTCCAGAACAGGCAAATCTATAAGGAAAGAAATTGGATTAGTGGTTGCCTAGGGTTGGGTAGGGCTAAGGAGTGAAAACTAATGAGTACAAGGTTTCTTTTGGGGGTGATGGTAATGTACAACTAGATAATGGTGATGGCTGCACAACTCTGTAGATACACTAAAAACCATTGAGCTGTACATGTTAAATGGGTGAACTTTATGTTACATAAATTAAATATCAATAAAACTGCTTTGAAAAAGATGAAGTTACAGTCAGAGAGTGTGGAAGGCCACTGTGCTTCCTTTAATGGGTGATTAGACCCCTCTTTTTTGCTTTTACATGATGTTATCTAGGCTAAGTCGCTCAATTGTTATGCTTTAATTTTTCCCACTTAAAAATTTCAGTAGTAATGTGATCAGAGAACATGGGTTCCCCTCTCCCATCCGTGGTCATTTGATTTTCAACAAGGGTGCCAAGACCACTCAATAGGAAAGAATGGTCTCTTCAACAAATAGCACTGGGAGGACTGGATATCCACATGCAAAAGGATGAAGTCGGGCCCTTACCTTATACCATGTACAAAAACTAACTCAATGGATCAGAGACTGAACTTTAAGAGCTAAAACTGTAAAACTCTTAGAAGAAAGCATAGGGACAAATCTTTATGATAGATACATACAAATGGCCAGTGAGCACATGGAAAGATTCTCAGCATCCCTAGTCATTAGGGAAATGCAAATCAAAACCACAATGAGATATGACTTTGTACCTACTAGGATGGCTATAATTTAAAAAACAGGAAATAAATGTTGGTAAAGATGTGTAGCCCTACACCACTGGCTGGCATGTAAGATGGTGCAGCTTCTGTGGAAAACACTTTGGTGTTTCTTTTTTTTTTTTTTTTCCTTTTTGTCTTTTTTTCGTGTCCGGCAACGGATCGCAACCCTCAGTGTCGCGCCCGTACCGGACCGGGACCGGCAATGGGATCGCAACCCTCGGTGTTGCGTCCGCACCCGGCTCAGCCAGTGAGCGGGAACTGGTCTGTATGTGGGATCTGAACCCTCGGCGGGAGCGCTGCCACACTCCCAAGAGGCGCACTGTAGCAGTGCGCCACCGGGCCGGCCCACACTTTGGTGCTTCTTTAAGAAAAACATTAAATGTAGAATTACCTTATGACCCAGCAACTCCACTCCTAGGTATATTCCCCAAAGAACTGAAAACAGGGACTCAGATATTTGTACACCAATATTCATAGCTGCGTTATTTACAATAGCCAAAAGGTGGAAACAATTTAAGTGTCCATCAACAAATGAATGGATAAAGGAAATGTGGTCTGTTCATACAGTGGAATACTATTCAGCCGTAAAAAGGAATGGAGCGCCAGTACATGCTACAAGATGGGTAAACCTTGAAAACATGCTAAGTGAAATAAGCCAGACACAAAAGGACAAATACTGTGTGATTCTATTTACATGAAATATTTAGGATAGGCAAATTCATAGAGACAGAAAGTAGGGACTGGCCAAATAGCTCAGCTGGTTAGAGCATGGTGCTGGTAACACTAAGGACAAGGGTCAGGATCTCTGCACCAGCCAGCCGACAAAAAAAAAAAAAAAAAAAATATTAGAGGTTACCAGGGGCTGGGGAGATGGGGCAGTGGGGATGGTGGAAAAATTTTGGAAATAGATAGTGGTGATAATTGTACAACATTGTGGATGTAACTGACACCACTGAACTGTACACTTCCAAGTGGTTAAAATGGCAAATTTTTTTTTTTTTGTCTTTTTCCGTGTCCGGCAACGGATCGCAACCCTCAGTGTCGCCCCCGTACCGGACCGGGGACCGGCAACGGGATCGCAACCCTCGGTGTTGCTCCTGCGCCTCGCTCAGCCAGTGAGCGGGAACCGGTCTGTATGTGGGATCCGAACCTTCGGGCGGGAGCGCCGCTGCGCTTCCCAAGCGGCGCACTATCCAGTGCGCCACCGGGCCGGCCCAAAATGGCAAACTTTTTGTTAGATATATTTTATCATAATAAAAGAAAATGGATTAAATACTATTAGATCCTTTTTCAGTAATTGAAAGTAATAGAAGGATATACTGTAGAATATTAAGGTAGAATAGTAATCCTGTAAGCAAATGGCATAATGGAAAAAATGAGTGGCATTCTTAAAAGACAAACTGTTTTCGAAAACAGTTACATAGTACCTTTCTGTGGAAGAAAGAATGATTAAATGGGAGTGGCTTGAAGATGTTTATCTTCCTCTCTAAATGGCAAAGTGAATACCTGTACTGGCCAGATGCCAAAATAAAAAAACCCAAACTAAATGGCAAAGTGAAAAAAAATAAAACTTCTGAACTTCCATTTTCTATAATGTAGTTTCTGTATTCGGACTCTGCAAGCTTACAAAATGAGGCTATTAATTAAGCTTAAACAGACCATGTATGTGTGGAAGAGCTTTGTCAACTGCAAAACATTATACAAATCCTAACCCACTTCTTATCTTCTAAGATAGACATGTTTAGTCAGTGTACTTTTTAGCTACTTCATTTTATTTATATAATCATATTATATAATTTTTTTTCTTCCTTTTAGTATTTAGTGTCTTTGATCCAGGACAAGCTAGGATGGATGTGGGTTTTCTACTTTTTCATTCTCATGGTAAGTTTATGCCTTTTTTTTTTTCTTAACTTCTCATTTTTCTTATTAATTTAGCTTAAAGCATTTATTTAAGTCATTTCTTGAAACCAGCAAAACTACTCATTGCTTTTAAAGACCCTTTTGTGAAAAGTAACATTTTATTAGTCTAAAAGGCACATTATTTTTTCAAGGAGGAAAAGGGCCCTCGGATTGCCCTTGACCTGAGTCTAATGAGTATTGTCATTTATAATTCCAGAAAAACAAGAGACTTATTTAAAGTATCTCCAACCATTAATCAGTGTACTCTCCTACTCAACTCTCTATCTGCTGAATGCAATCTGGGAATTCTGAAGGAAATTACAATGTACATCAAACAACACAGAGTTAAAAAAGAAACATGGCTATAATTAACACTGTCATGTGTGAAGGTTCTAAAATGATAGTCTCTTGAAGAAATATTTGTTATCTCTTAGACATTCTTGGCTGGGGTTTTGTACTTTCTGGGAAATAGCTAATACAGAATGATGCCTTGTGCTTTTAAAATGTTGCTGTCTGTTGAATAAGCATGTGACATACTCTATCACATTATTGGTGGGACAGTACTCAAGACAGGTCTACTTGAGAGAGTCTGGTGATGGTCTGTCCACCAGGGGATGTGCTCAGTATCCCGTCCTGGAACCCAGGGCATCCTAATTGGGGTCACCCCAAGTCCAGGCAGCTGTGCTCTAACCTTGTCCAGGGAGCCCTGGGATAGTCCATCTCTAGGAATTCCCTGGAGATTCCTTCTCATTGCCTTCTACCTCCTAAAGACTGGGCCATGTAACTCTGTGTTCCACGTCTGACATCCTCACTAAGTAGAGGGAAATATCCTCCAATGACGTGCTGGTTTGAACATACTAGGAATAGAAAGAAAACTGGATCTATTATTATAAGAAACACTGGTTTTAATCTGAGCTCCAGTATCAATTTTCTGCTCTACCTATGGCACATTATTTGTGTACTTCATGTCTTTTTTTGACAACCATGATGTGACATTAAGTATTTTGTAATATTAACTGTAATTTTCAATCATTTTCTAATTCACTGAAGATTAAAATTTATCTTTGTGTGAAGTCAAAATGAGTAGAATCATCCAAATCCATTATGTTCAAAACATGATGTTCTAACAGAAGTAATTAAATTGTTGCTGCATATTTAATACTTTTTTCTCTTTACAGACAAGTTGTACAATTGTGTTTATCTCACCATTAATAGTGAGGGAAGTATTGTATCTTGTGCAAAGGAGACAAGCTCACGTATTGAGTGGGTGACTGGTGCCCACAAGAAGAAACGAACCATAGGAGACATAGCAGGACTGTTATGTTTTCTAATTCACCCTCTAAGATGGAGGTCATCTAAGAGCTCCAGCAGAACCTCGGGTTATCAGGCCTCTTTAAACACTGCCAGCCACTGGAGGTGCTGACCAGTAGGGAAGGCTGGGCTATTCTTCTACACTACAGGAATTATTGTTGATTATTTTTATTGCTGCTTCACAAATGTATTCAGTGGCCTACAGGAATTATTGTTGATGACTTTTATTATTGATGCTTTATGAAGGTACTGAATGGCCTGTGAATCTGCCAGTGTCTTTGCTTGGCCTGTTGAGGTTTATCCTTTTAACCTTAAATGTTGCATTGGACTTGGACTCTTGTTCTCCAGGCTCACAAGCTGAGCGGACGGGAGGCAGAACCATGCATGGTTTTATTGATGATGGGCTCCACGAATAGAAAAGGTCATTGCCTTTTGCCTTGGTAATGAGTTTGCAGAGAGTGCTCATCTTTGAAGCATCAAATCCTGATAAAGTGCTCAAGCTGGATGAAGCTGTAAGCCTGCCTTGGACAAAGAATCTCTTTACAAACTGTGGTGAGAAAGATCACACTACATGCTTATTGGCTCAGTCACTCTGTGTCTGATCTAAAAGTCATTCAGCTCTAGAAGCAGGAATATCTTCAAATTACTGTCAACTTGTTCTCCCCCATCTTCATTCAGAATTAACTTGACTCCTGGAAGTACTTAGCCTTCTTTTCAAGGACCATAAGGTACAGCAGTTATCTTGAACATTCCAATGTGTAACTTATGATTGAAGTACTCAACCAGGTTTGTGGGTTTGTGGGAACTTGAGGACCCTCTAGGAGGCTAATCTGCTTCACCCAAATTTTAGAGGATTAATCTCTAAAATTACAACTGGTTACAACTGGTTCCTGGAGTTACCTCAGCAGAAGGCTAGAATTAGAGAAAAGGGAAAGACCTTTTGTCCTAGTGAGTGTTTAGTATGTGGTATTGAATCACATTAATGGATTACTAGTGCCTGAGGGGTGTCTGTTCTTTAGAAAACTGTAGAATATATGTCTTCAGGGCTGTGAATTCTATGCTAATTATCAATATTTTAAGGTCATTTTATATATATTTTAAATTATGTAATCAAATTAGGAAAATGTGCAATTTTGAGGGATACCTAATTTGCATTGGGTTAGGGAATATTTTTCAACCTCTCGCTTTATACTCTGAAATGTGGTGTGTTGATGAACTTGTTATTTAATCATGCAGCTTTCCAATCATTTTATTGCTCATTTACTGAGAAAAAGGGAAAATACAAAACAGAAAGGGAAAATAAACTGACTTTTATAATAAAGATATGTGCGCTTGGTTTAAATCTATACCGTGAGCTCTGAGTTTTAGACTGTGACCAGGTGTTTAGGTTTCCTGACAGTGAGCATTCTCTGGCAGGCAGGCACTGGTGCCACAGTGTCGCCCTGGCTCCTCTACCTTAGATGCTGTTGTGTTCTGTGAAAACTTGTCCTCTCCCCTTGTGGAAGATGGTGCTCAGTTTGGATGAATCGCCTAGTTGTAATTTCGGAACCACCTGTAGATGAGCCCCAGTTTATTATTGAACTTCTTGCTGACATTTGGCTCAGAGAGTTTCCTGTCCCCCCATGCCATTAGTGTGGTCACATCTGTGTGTCCCGACACTAACCAGTTTTCTTACCCAGTACCCAATTTATCCTTGAGTGGGTGAGTGTTCCCCTGATGTATGGCCCCAAGCTGTACCAAATATGAAATTATAAATAAAATAAATGCTCAGCAGTAGACGAAATGATATATTGCCCTATGAATATATTTTCTTATTCTAGTTCTGCCAGCCTAGGCAGGAATGAACTTTAACACCTAAGAGTTCAATCCCCCCCACCCCCTTGAAGAAGAGGCACAGTGAAAGCTACTTTGTGCTGTGGCCAAAGCTTGTGCTGTGGCCTGCCTTTTCTTTTCAGAAGGTGTTTTCCTTCCTCTTTCCTTATAGTTTCAAAGGAAGAAATGTCCCTCCCCCTCCTGCTGTGTAAAGCTCCACGACTACGCCGGTTGTCTTGCTATAGCAATAGCTATCCTAATTGTATGGCTAGGCAAATCATAACTAAAGCCAAAACATTTCATTATTTTAATTACACTAAGTTTTCCATTTGCACCATCAGGGCTAGGGCTCAGGCCCTTCAAACCCATTGTACAGTCTGGGTCACCAGACTCCTCACATGTCAAGCTGGGTCACCAGACCCCTCACACACAGGTCCACACTAGGTAATTGGGAAAGATCCCAGGAGCCATTGGCGGACGGCACGGTCTCAGTCCTCGGCAGTAGCTTACGGCAGCGGCAGAAGCAGCAGTGGCAGTGGCCTCTCAGGGCTTCCCAGGGGCACTGGCAGTAGTAGTCTCCTGCAGCAGCAGCGGCCTCCCTGTTACCCCCCTCTGGGGGCACCCGGGGGATGGGGGCACTGTGGAGCAGAGCCACTTGTCCTTTATACTAAAGTCCATAACCCAGGACACCTGGGTGCACATGAGCACTAACATTAGACAATAACCAAGAAACACCTGGGCGCATGTGCCTATTTACATCAAATGCTCGGCAAGATTCTGAACATATGAGGGGCCCTGACCGTTTTCCTATATTTTCCCTACATGCTTATGCTGTTCTTTCCTGCTTCCTGAGAGACCTGAGGGCCACAGTCAGCATCATGCGAGGAGTGTTGCAAGACCTCTGTGCAGCCTGATGTTGGGAGGAGGATACGTGATGCTCTTAGCCCTTTCCTCCTTCCCTTCTCTGAAACCTCCAGGAGTCCTCCCCGCCTCCCAGATAAATAACTGATAAAGCCTTTTCTGATCCCTACTAGTTCTTCTGACTAATGTCCTATTTTTCTTTTCACAGCAACCCCCTAGAGTTAACAGATGGTATCTGCTGCCTTTCTGGCTGTACTTCCTCCTCATCTGGGTAACTAACTGTCTCTATGTTTGCCCAGAACTGTCCTGGTTTATGTCTGTCATTCTCCCACCATTAGCAATAGCACTTGCTTTTGCTCTCCAAGCGTCCTGGTTTGAACACCTTATCCTTAACCTCTGACATCTCATCACCCCGCACAAACCGTGCATCGGAAGATCATTGGATTTGGGGACTCCCCCCACATTCCTCATTTTTATTAATCTTTCTCTTGCACGTGACACTGGTAACCACTACATCTTTCCCTGGACTCTCTTACTTGGCTTCCATGGCAATTTAATTTATTGAACACCCTTACCTCCTACCCCTTTCCTGGGTTCTCTTCACTGCTCACCCTCATGCTGGTTTCCTTTCCACAGTAGGTATCACCAACTCTCCCTGATGAGTTGTTTTTTGTAATTTACCTATAGCACTGTTAGATCTTAGTGAATCAGAAACCACTAAAGAGGAACGGCATCATTTGTTAAGTACTATCTGGTGTGTGGCTAAGCGCGGTCTCAAGGGAAATGGGCTCAACTTATGTATCCTCACCCCCCTCCCCATCCCCACACAGACCACTCTGCCAATTGCCCGCATTAATTGTTTTCAAGTTTTCTAGGTCTTAAACCTTTTGACAATCTGAAAACCACTTCCTCTCTCCCCAGATCAAAGAGCACATATAAAAAACATTCAGAATTTTGTTACAGGGTGTTCACGGGCCAAAACTTGAAGAGCATTCTTGGACCACAATGTTAGAAACTTTGGTCAAGATAATCAAGTGCCTGGTGTTAAGGTTCTTTACAATCCAGCTTCGATGTATTTCTGTCTTTTTGCAGGGTGGGGGGCGGGGAGTGTCCGGTCGCTACAGGGATCCGAACCCTTGACCGTGCTTGGTGTTGTCAACCAGCTTCAGTCTATTTCTTTACCGAATCTCCCATTGACTCTCTTTGTGAACCTTCTGCAGAATCAGACTGGCCAGCTCACTGCTCGCTACAGATGGCAATGTGTATTCATTCCTTCTTGTCTTGACTCACACTTCTCTGTAATCCCCCGTTTTTACTCCCAGCTTCCTGAATCATTTTCCTTCAAGGCTTGGCCAAGCACAAGCACCATCTAGTCTAAGAAATCTTTCCCAACCAGCCTCCCTATCCCTCCACCATCTCTCCTTCCTTTGGTAGCAACGTCACTATTACTTATTTGGTGCTTAGCTGTTTCTGTCTTACCTATTTTTATATCTAACTCCCCAAGGAAATTCTTGCTGTCTTTTTCCAACGCTAGTTCCCTGCCTGGTTGGTTCTGAGTAAATGTTGATCATGTTGGGAAAGACGGAAATGGAGAATGGAGGGTGGCCAGAGCAGGCTGTGACGCCCTGACCCTACGCACTGCCCTTCCACTTGCTCTGCACACGACACCATCCTCCTGCAGTAAATGGCCACAGATGGGCAGGGCCGCCGTGTTGTCAGACTGGCTGGCTCTGAGTCCATTCTCGTCTCCGGCCCTGCAGCAGCCCTGTCGGCTCTCCCAGCTCTCCCAGAGAGCTCGACGACACAGACAGTGGGCTCTGTGTCACTCCACGTTATTCAAGCTGCTCTCTTCATTTCCGCTGCACTGACTGTCCTCTTCACAGCCCTTCAGATTCCCTTCATCCCTCTCAGTGGCCCCATGCCCCTGCTGCCCGTGATGCTCTTTTCCTTCTGTGAACTTCTAGAGCCCTTATCTTCGACGTACAGTCTGCCCCAGGCCGATTGGTTTTACTGCCTTATTTTGTTTCCTGGTTGTTTCTGGTTAAGTTGTCATTTCCTTAATTAAATAGTGTGCCCCACAAAAGTCAGCACCCTGTCCAAGGACATAGCAGCCATTTAATCAAGACAGGTCCATTTACCTTCCCGCATTGGCTCTTTTGTAGTTTTATTTTATTTTAGTGGCTGGTGTTACAAGGCTGTGCTCTAACCAACTGAGCTACCCAGCCAGCCCCTCTCCTGTACTTTTAGATTCAATGGCATCTTCTTGCTTTTCTTTAATTGCCCTGATCATTTCTGGTGACAAAGTTTGTTTCAGTATATATGTAGAATAAATAAAATTTTGAAATATTGATGTTTACATATACATGACCGTAAATAATGCAAATGGCTTAAATGGTTATACGTGTGTCTGTTATACATAACATGTTACTACATGGCATTTTAGAAGCAAGAACCTCGTATGTTATATACACATACATAACCTAGTTACATATAATATAGTTACATATATATATAATTAAACAAGTCTGACACCTGAAAAGGAATTGTGTACCTGGACACCCAGCATGTGGTCTTTCAGTTATTAGTAAGATAATGCTTCATGCATATATAAATCTTTAAGAACTGCTGTCCCGTTCACTACTCACAGGCTTCGTGAGGTTGGCAGGTGGTTCTGTAGCTTACATGTGAGAACCAAGACAGAGAATTTACGTGGTTTGCCCAGGATCACACAGTCTAGTAGGTGACAGAACCAGGACTAAATTGAAACCCAGGTCTTTGACTTTGCTCTAGTGTTTTTCCATCGTGCCGTGTGGCCACGCTCCTTTACCCAACGCTCTCCGAGGCTTACTTCCAAGGTAGAAATGGGGCAGCTGCTCTCATCTTTCTCAGGGCCGGAGTCCTGAAGGGTGAGCAGAGCTGTCGGGTCGTGCGCCTGGGTGTGCGAGCTCCCTGCAGCCTGCATCTGCTGCCGGGCCAGGGGCCCCACCGCACAGGCCGGGCAGCCCTGGCTGGCCCGCCTTGTGCTGGGATCGGGCTTCTCTCTGCAGTGGCCTTCTGCTGGCCAGTTGGCTCAGTTGGTTAAGTGCAGTGTTGTAACACCAAGGTCCAGGGCTCAGGTCCCTGCACTGGCCAGCTGAAAAAAATAAAGTAAATAAATAAATAAGCACCTCTTCACTCTTTTTTCCTGATCCTTCTGTTTGAGCCTGGAGAGAGTTCTGCCCCCCTAATAAACTCTTCCATTGTAATTTCTTCCCTCGTTCTGTGTCCCTGGCCAGGTGTGATTACTTCGTGGCCAGCTCACCCAGGTCTGACTTTCCCCTTCCACCAAGGTCCCTGCTCAGTTACGCTTCTTCCTAATGAATGTTTGATTAACCCTGAATGACGTTCTTCTTTCCAAAATGCCGTTAGTCAGCTTTTTACTGCTTGCTATTGCCCTCTGAGTAAAGAAATAACTTTTTTTTTCTTTTTTGCCCTTTCAGAAATTAGATAAATGGTTTCAAATGATTTTGCTCCTTTTTTCAATCTCCTTTTTCACTGTGGCACAAGAAAAGTTGTCATCTCAGAACTTCATCATCAGAGAAATGCAAATAGAAGGGCCACCCTGTTTGTCAGGAATGCTGCTATGGATTTAATGGGATGATTGGATTTAGGTAAAACCTTTCATCTGAAGACTTCAAAGGCCTTTACCTTGTTTCATACTTATTATATGCCCTAGAGAGTGCTATCAGGATACCATAGTCCTAGATATTTGTGTGTGCGTGCATTTGTTCATTTATTTAGCATTTTGTTTGTTTTCCTAGGCTCACCATAGAAGGCTTTAGGAATTTAACAGCATTGCTGTTGATTTCCATTAAAAACAGTACCTAATGAATAGCATGCATAATGGGCCTCTGTTTCATGGGATGAAGATGTTAATGGGTTTCTAAAATAAAGAGCAACCATGCTGGAGCCAGGAGGGTGGGGCTGGGAGTGGAAAGAGCAAGGACTCATGTGCAGGCCACAGGGAGATCCTTCCCCAGCTGCCCCTGTCGTGTGAAAAAGGTTTTCTCTTGTTGCTGCTACTAGTTGGATTCACATAAGACAGCAAGTTAGTGCTGCATAAT